AACACACATTCTGTTGAGCCATGCCCTTTCTTCTCTTTTGGAATCGCAATGTTTATTCTGTGCCATTGCACTTTGGAAGTGTGTGATTTGCTTTTACAGAGGGCTGTAGGTAAGGGATTGCCTTGAGTCAGAGAAGACTGGACTTTACTCCTTTAAGCAGTGTGGAGACTGTAGGACTATGGGGACGTTTGAAGTGAGACTAAAGAAATGCACTTGACAGTATGGTGTGACTACAAGCCTCTGGAGTGCAGGGAGTGGAATCTGGTGTTTGAACAAGAATGGACCCATAGGCTCCTATATTTGAATGTTTGAGTCCCAGTTGGTGGACTGTTTAGGAAGGATTATGAGGTGTGGCCTTGTTGGAAAAGGTGTGTCACTGGGGGTGGGCTTTGCACTTTCAAAATTCCAGACAAGATCTCCCCCTCTTCTCTCCACGCTCCCTCCTGATGTGGATCAGATGTAAACATTCAGCCACTGCTCTGCACCGTGAGATCAAGGACTTAGCTTCTGGAGCTGTCAGCTAGGCCCCAATTAGCTTTATTTCATAAATTGCTTGGTCATGGTATCTCTTCACAGTAATTAATAGAAAAGTAGCTAAGATGGGTCCATTTGCTTGGAATAGCCTTTTCTATCCTTTTACCATGAGGTGATGTCTGTTCTTTGTAGTGAGGAGCTGTGGGCAGGCCTGCATTTCATCCCGCCCGGCTCCCACATGGCTAGCTTAGCCCCAGAAATAATAACACACAAGTTGTATTCATTTAAACACTCCCTGGCCCATTATCTCTAGAGAGTTAGTTACTAACTCTTACATCTTGATTAACCCATTTCTAATAATCTGTGTAGCACCACAAGGTGGTGGCTTACCGGAAAAGATTCAGCATGTCTGACCTGGTGGCTGGCTCCATGGCGTCTGCCTCATTGCCCTCTTCCCAGCATTCTGCTCTGTTTACTCCACCTACCTAATTTTCTGTCCTATCAAAGGGCCAAGGCAGTCTCTTTATTAACCAATGAAAATAACACATAACAGAAGGCCCATCTACATCAGTTCTTGATGGTGAGACGTTGCCTGAATGCTACAGAAAGATGGATCCTACTGTCTATCCAATATGCTAGTCTGTCTTTTTACTGGGGCAATTGAGATCATTAAAACTAAAAGTTACCAATGAAGAGTGCTTATTGGTTCCTGTGTTTTGTTATGATGTGTCCCCCTTGATTTGTTGGTCTGAGATTATTTACTCTTTTTGTTTTCTTGAGTGTGGTCAACCTTTCCAGACTGAAGTTTTCCTTGTAGTGCCTTCTGTAGATCATGATGGGTAAAGCTACTGGTTAAATTTGGTTTGTTGTTTCTCTTTCTCCATTTGTTGTAACTGATAGCTTTACTGGGTATAGTAGTCTGGGCGCCATCTATGGTCTCTCAGATTGTAGACTATCGGGCCAAGCCCTTCTGGTTTTCCAGAGTCTCTATTGAGAAGTCTGCTGTTATCCTAATTGGGGCCTACTTGGGCCTACCCTTATATGTTACTTGGTATTTTTTTCCCTACAGCTTTTAATATTCTTTGTTCTGTACATTGTTTGGATTATGAGTTGTGAGAAATTTCTTTTCTGGCCCTGTGTATCTGTATGCTTCTTGTACTTTTATAGGTACCTCTTTGGGCAGGAAAATTTTCTTCTATGATTTTGTTAAAAGTATAATCTGTGCCTTTGATCTGCTTTTTTTTCTTTCTTCCTTGGTTTCTGTTATCTCTAGATTTGGACTCTTCATAGTGTCCTAGATTTCCTGTATGCTTTGTGTTCAGATTATTTTAGATTTAACATTCTTTCTGACCAAGCTAACCTGATCTTCAACACCCGATTCTCTCTTCCATGTTTTGTGGTCTGTCCATCAGGCGTCATACCTGTTTTTCTTTGACATCCCCAATTTTTCATTCCCAGTTCTATGTCAGTTTGCTTTTTCTTTAGTGATTGCGCTGGTTAGTTTTATGTCAACTTGTTGTCATAAACAGAGTTATTGGGGAAGAGGGAGCCTCAGTTGAGAAAATCTCTCTATAAGATTGGGCTGTAAGCAATCCTCTAAGGAGTTCTCTTAATTAGTAATTGATGTGGAAGTTCCCAGCCCATTGTGGGTGTTGCCATTCCTGGCTGGTGGTCCTGGGTTCTGTAAGAAAACAGGCTGAGCAGCCATGAGAAACAAGTCAGTAAGCAGCACTGCTCCAGGGCCTCTGTCCGCATCAGCTCCCGCCTCCAGGCTCCTACTCTGAGTTCCTGACTTGGTTTCTTTCAACAGACTGTGCTATATAAGCCAAACAAACCCTTCCCTCCCCAAGTTTCTTTGGTCGTGGTGTTTCATCACAGCAGTAGACACCCTGAGACAGTGATTCTGTTTCTGCTCTCATGTCCTGGACTGTTTTCATTGTTTCATTCAACTGTTTGCGTTGTCAGTCTGCATTGAGAGATTTATTTACATCCTCCAGAAGGCCCTTGACCATACTCATAATTGCCATTTTGAAACCCCTATCTTCTGCTTCAGTTATATTGTGTTTCTCAGGGCTGCTGTAATAGGATTACTGGGTTCTGAAGAAAGCACATTGTCTTGGCTGTTCATGTTTGGTTTTGCAGAGACTAAGTATCTGAAGTTATGATAATTGATGTGTTTCTTGGCATTGCTTTCTGGTCTTTTTTTGCTGGGCAGTTGTTCTGGTCTTTGTTGCTGTTGCCCTCTATGAATCCTGGGCAAATGTGGTGATGGTGGGCGGTCCTTGGTAGAGCGTTTCTGCAGGTTAGTGGGGGGCAGAAAGAAACGGAGATGAGTGAGGAGGAAAGGTTGAGCGGGGCTGTGTTTGTAGCAAGAATTTCAGTCCCAAGGCAGTGAAGTGTGGTGGGAGGGCAGACCCCTGCGAGCAGGCTTAAAGGACAAAGGTAAGTCTGAATAGATGGGGATGAAAGGGACAGCTGAGTCTGCACCAAGAGGTGGAGACCCCCGTGAATGGAGCTGGGGTAGAAGGAGGAGCTTCACCTGCAGGTTGCTTCAGGACTGAAAGACTGGAGAGATCAGAATGGAGGACAGGAAGAATAGTGGACATTGCCTGGGTACCAGCCCAGCATGCCACTGGGAGCCCCTGGAGAGCCCAGCGTGCCACTGGGAGTCCCTGGAGAGCCCAGCATGCCACTGGGAGCCCCTGGAAAGCCCAGCGTGCCACTGGGAGCCCCTGGAGAGCCCAGCATGCCACTGGGAGCCCCTGGAGAGCCCAGCGTGCCACTGGGAGCCCCTGGAGAAAGTGTTTCTGGGAATGCATAGCTGACAAAAAGAAATGGAGACAGGCAAGAAAGGAAGGCTGAGATGGTCAGCAGGATTGCTTGGTGTGATTTATAGTCATAGTTCTGCTGCTTTATGTTATTATTGAAAGTAAAGAACTTCTGTCCTTAATTATGACACAAACATTTCTCTCCCATGGCCTTTATCCTAGTAATAGTTCATTTTGGCATAAGTCATATACGTTAACTTAAAGGAAGTATAAAACGACAGAAACCACTGTAGTGGGATATGCATCTTGTCATCTCTCCCTGAGCAGTTAACACTGGGTATAGTTTCTCAAGGTGACCCACAAAGCACAAAGCAGACCTAGCAAGAGATGGGTGATATTTAGACCCGGGCCTATCTCTGGTCCGAACTCATGTTCCTCAGTTGTCCACGCACCTACAGACCTGTGGGTCCCCGAATATAATTCAACCTCATGGTCTTTTTTTTTTTAACTTACTGGATTTTGTTTTCTTAAAAAATAGTTTTTCGAATCATGTGTTTGTGTATGTGTGTGCACAAGCATATATGGTGAATGTACATGTGTGTGCAGGGTTGAGAATGCTCCTGTTCCAAATTGTTGGGGACTGTGGACCCCCAGACCATGAATTTCCTGTGACCCTCTGCCTGTTTTGCAGCTGCTGTGAGCACGAGACCCTCGGGAGTTCCTGATGGCAGGGGAGTGGTTTCTGCTGGGTTTGCAGCTGAGAGTTAGGGCGTGGCCATTGGTCAAGGAGACCCTATAGAAGCTGCCCTGGAACACACTAAAGGATATTCCTTGAGAATTCTTGGCACCCATGTCCCTGTGTGGCTGTGTGTGTCTCAGTCTCCAGGCCCTTGCCTGACTCGTGAACCCTACCACAGAGCACGCATTGCACCACACCAAATCTTCCTCTCTTTAAACCCGAAGTTCGTGCTAACACCCCTGAAGGCTGTATGGGATGCCTGAATTCCTCTTACCTTCGAATACTTCTGTATTTCTTTTATTCCTTTCCTGCCATTCATGATTACTTTTTCCATGGAGTTTAAGGGGAGGGGCTGATCTAATTTGTTGAGAACCCCTGAAGTCACGCCACCAGGGGCTAAGGACAGCTTCTTTCAGGTCCTTGTCTGGAGATTTAACATATGGGACATTTTGAAATCCCTTTGTGCTAATTGCTTTTTCTTTTGCTTCTGGGCCACTTTGACTCTGGGTCACATTTCCTGTTCTTTCCATTCTTGCCTCTTGTTTTATACCGGACATAAAGAGCAACATGGGGCAAAGTCCCTTGGCTCTATTAATTCCTGTTGAAGTATCGATTTTTGTTCTATCAGGCAATCCACTTGGCAGGAATCAAACTATAATGTTTGTAGTAGGACACAATTCAGATTTTTTGTTGTTGTTGTTGTCTTTTAGCTGTTTTCTCTCTACCATGCTCCAGGCAGTCTGCCTTATAGACTCAGCTCAGGGGTCATCTATAACGCAGTAATACAAGCAGATTGTGACATGTCCCCTTGTGTCGTTCACTTTCTCCTGTGCTATCTGCGTCTGTTCTGGTTTCTCTAGTGACCCTTGCCTTCATCAAGGTCGTGGGACGGTAGCTTTCAGTTTGAGTTCTGCCTGGCTTCCACCATTACCTCCAGCCAGCTTTTACATGACTAAGCATGAAAAGTTAAGTTAAAAAAATTACCATTCCACTGTAAAGAACAGAACGAGGCAAGAGCGCTGGGTGTCAACAAAACTTTAAGAAGCAGAGGGCCCCAGACAGTAACATTCAACAGTGATGGAGTTGCCAACGGCAGGACAGACATGGCTCTGTGTTACAGCAGGGCCTCACAGAGCCCGTGGGGGCAAAGAAAGCATGGATCAGAAACAACACGACAAGTCTGGGGATTACAACCAAAGGGAGGCAAATTCGGTACAGAAAGCATCAAGAACCAGCAGATGGGCTGTGCTTCACGGCGGAGAAGAGAGCGCGAGTTCAGGGGTGTCACCCAGGTCGTGAAGCCGAGATCACGGGCCCAGAGTCAGTAACACAGATCAGTCTGCTACTGATGTTAACTCATCAGCACGGACCACAACCAAAGAGCAAACCACCTCGGCAGCTAGGATTTCACGCTGGGAAAACATTCTAACCCAAGTGACGTTAACTCCAGGATTTTTGCTTCCGAAGACATGTTTGTACTTTTCGCTGTATCCTGAAGACATCACAGGTCCTCAGAAGGGAGAGTCCCCATTCCTAGTTACAAGTGTCTTCCTTCTAAGCGTTTTGTACCTCAGCAGAGAGTCCTAGAGGAAGCAGGGAAAGAGAGCCGAGGCGGGGTGGGGGTGGGGATGACTTTATCTGACAAGTGTTCTGAATGCCGCTCATGATTAGGGGAGGGAATTTGGAACTTGGTGCCATGCTGCCTCACGATCACGTCCGTTGCTCAGTCTGAAGTTTCACTCCAACGAGAGCTGCACACTGTCAGCTTGGCTTTGTGGCTGTTGATACTCATACTTTCTTGCTATGAAAAAATGATGACAAGAAAGATAAAGAATAAAATAATCACTAGCTAATGTCATTAAACCTAATTAAATCATGACGAATGGTAAGGAATTAGTTTAGAATTAAACAACTGTTTTTTCTCTGGAGGAAGTTAATTATATTCTAAGATCTTCTAATTTTGGCACTATTTATATATACCTGATATTTATAATTATTTAACTATCAGGATCATTCTGAACTTTAAAATACAGGAAAAAATTGAGTAAGCTATTAAATTTTTAAAATTTTTCTTCTTTCTTACTCTATATTGCTACTTTTAAAAAATATATCTTAATTTATATTTTGAGACTTTCATACATATATACATACATACACATGTATGTAGATGGAGACTGCTTGCTTGTGTCCCGACTGCTCAGACCCAAATAATCACACAGAAACTATATTAATTATAACACTGCTTGGCCTATTAGCTCAGGATTCTTATTAACTAACTCTTATATCTTAAGTTAACCCATTTTATTAACCTGTGTATTGGCACAAGGCTGTGGCTTATTGGCAAGGATCTGCCACTAGCTCTTACCATCTTTCCAACCCCCTTCCTTCCCTGATGAGCACTGAGCCTTGTGGGAGGGGTCCCACTTAGGGCTGCGTACTTGACAATAACTTATTTCGGCACGTTGGCATTACCACCTTTTTGTTTTTACTATATTTAACTTAAAAGCCTACAGAAGAAGCTAAACATAGAACTGTCATACGACCCAGCTCTAGCACTCCTGGGCATGAACTCAAAGGAATTTATAACCTACTACAGACACACGTGCCCGTCCATGTTCCCTGCCGCTCTACTCACAATGGCTATGAAACAGAATCAACCCACGTGTCCATCAACAGACAGGGAAAATGTGGTACATGCACACAATGGAATGCTACTCAATTGTGAAGAAAAATAAAATCATGAAATCTTCAGGGAAATGGATGAACTATAAAACAACTATACTAAATGAGGTAACTCAGGCCCAGTAAGACAAATGTCACATGTTCTCTCAGATGTACAGCCTGGTTTCAAACATTTTGTTTTGTGGGTTTAGCTTGGAGCACACGTAGATGCCAATACACCAGTAAGTCTCGACTGGGCATGATCCATTGAGCACTGGCAGCAAATTCTAGGTGAAACCAAAGTAGACTGATGGACATGCATGGGTATTCTATCGCATGCATATGTGTGAACTGTGTGTGCAGTGCCTGAGGAAAAGACGGAAATGAATCCTCTGAAGCTGGAGTTACAGAGGGTCAGGAACCACAGTGTGGGTGCTGGGAATCAAACCTGGGTCTCCTGGAACCACCGAGCTGTCTCCTGGCCCCTAAATGGGACATCTTTACTGAATAACACATCTCCTGTCACTGCCAAGGCTCAGAGAACATTGCAGAAGAGAAGACAGAAAGACCATAATAGACAGGGGGCAGGGAGAAGTCTTCTGGAAATAACATGGCTATGGGACCCATGAACTCACAGAAGGAGGGATTATGTGCCCAGGAAGGGCACAAGATCAAGTCAACTAAAATTTGCACATACATGGGGAGGATCTCCCAAAGCCCTGACCTTCACTGAAGAGCTGTTGGCAGTTAACAGCTGCCTGAGGGAGGGAGAAGCGTCTTTCTTTGAGGGTGTGGTCACTGACAGGTTGCCTACACTCTAGTGGATGGCCCTATACCCATGGACATATGGTCAGTAGTAAGTGAACTAACGGGGTTTGTTTTTGTTTTTTAGACGAGACCTTGAGGTTGAGGGAGATTTGTGGAGATGGAGAGGTATGGGAGGAACACACTGTAAGAAATTAGTTATGGTCTACTTTCAGAGACAGGTCTGTTCAGATCTCACCCAAGAACCCAGACAAGCAGGAGGTGTTGGCATCTGCCTTTCCTAGCTGGCAGCTGGCACCTGTATGTCTGGGGTGAAAAGTTACAGGAAATCTGCTGTTTCAATGAGCCCATATACAAAGGAAGGAGGGGATTAAAATGCCTCAAGATATTCATTAGCTACAGCTGGGTCTGGAACCAACGGCTGGGGAATCTGGCGAGGGAGTAACGCTAAGGCTCTGGGAAGATTGGTCTCTCTAAAGAACTCAACCAATGAGGATTAAAAGGAGCAAAAACTGCAACTAGGACATAAAAGCCACTGTTTTGTGCCAAATAGGAGCATCAGCCATTTTTCCCTTTCTGTATAGGCTGGTTTTCGTTTCTGCATAACTGAAAATAGATCTGTCTTGCTTTGGCTACTCTGTGGCTCCACCGTTCTTATTATAAAGTGAGGGGGACTGCTTCTCACAATCTGGGAGATGGACATCTTCCAGGATTGCTATATTGGGAAAGAGCAGCCCTTGGTCTCTGTGTGTAGGAGATGCATCCTGCCCCACCTTTGGGTGTCCCACTCTGCCAGATCTTGGTCTCTCCCCAACACTTCGAATGAAGCCTAAGAGGACTTTTGAGAGAAGCGAGGCTGAGAGTCAGCTCCTATGCTCCCCTCACAAGGTGACCAGGAAGATCCAGGTTAAAAGTCCAGGATAGCCTTCCTGTTTACAACCCCCACGTGTTCTACAGAATGAAGACCTGAGTGAAGACCTGGGGTGGCAGCCGGCTGTCGGGGTGTGCACGTCTTGGTGTGCTTTCTCCAGTCGCTGTGATAAACACCATGGCCAAAGCAACTCAGGAGGGAAAGGGTCTATTTCAGCTGACAGTTTATAGTCTATCATACAGGGATGTCAAGGCAGGAACCCGGAGGCAGCAACTGAAGCAGAGACCCTTGCCAGTGAATTAACAAAAAGTCAGAAATTGATGATCCACTTACACACTGGCTGAAAGGATTAAAAAAAAAAAAGAAAGGGTTGATGGCTCCATTCCTAACTTCCCTTTGTAATTGTAGCAGAAATATTAACTACAGTAGAGTGATACATTATTCTTTTTAAAAGAGCTTTAGCAAAAACCCATTAAAATAAAATTAGCAAACAAATACCCAAACACAACCACATAATCTAATGCTTTTAGATACTAGACCAGACCATCAGTCCTATGATAGAGCCAAAAATGTTAGACTAAAAAAGTTAAATAAACCTAAATATAAGGCTGGTAAGCTTTAAATAAAAGGGAACAAGAAGTTAGGAAGTAAATCATCATGGTCCATTTTCAGCATGAGGTGCATTTAGAGCTCATCAGTGAGCAACAGACAAGCAGAGGCGCAAGGCCCATCTTCCCCGTCTAGAGCTGGTGCCTGCCTGTCTAAGAGCTCCGGAGTCACACAAGAGCTGAAACATCCAGCGGCCTGGTACACAACTGAGCCCACATATCAACAGAGGGGGAATCCCGAGCCCCAATATTAAGTAGATACTGTTCTATGTCCTTTTATTGAGCCTAATACCTTGTGTGTGTCTATAATACCAAAAATAAATGTCTCTCTTGAGACTCCAGCATTCTTAGTATGAGGTAAAGATTACTGTTTTTCATATGATCACATTTCATTATATATGTATACATATATAATGTGTTTATTTTTTCCTGTATCCATGCTTGCAGTGACTGGTACTACAGGCTGTATCAATATTGTTTAAATGTAACTTCTGGTCTTGTACCTTGATCTTGCAAGTTCTGACAGCCATTCTTACACTGCTTTGGTGTTCTACTGTTTGATCATTTCAATGTCATCCCAAATGAGAAGTACAAAGGAGGAGGAATTAGAAGAAGAAGAAATGGAGGTATCAAATGGTGATTATAATCTCGATTTCTGCAAAACTTATAAGAATATGATCACCTCTCAAGGTTATGGAAGGCCTCAGGCGACAGAAAGGCCAAAGCTTTAACAGCTATAACTTCGGGATAAATCTGCCTTGTTGTGTCTGAAAAAGGTTTAAGTTTCTATAAACAACCATATTTTATAACCTTTTGCTAACTGAGCTCAATAGAAGATCTATTTAAAACACGCCATGCATACAGCTCGGCAAAGAACATACTTACAAATGGAATGCATTTCCAGCTGTTGTCTTAAGCGAATTTTGCTCATTGTGTCATAAAAATTGGGCTCTGACAAGGTTTCTTCTGAAGGTGGCACGCTAAATATTCTCATAATTTTCCTTTTATTCCTAAAACACAAAACCAATGCAGATTTGTTTGAAAACTTACATAATTGTCTCACAATCCATTAAAAGCATGAAACAAATTCTTCTTGCGAAGTACTCTATTCTTCACTAACATACAAGCTCTCTGTGTAGAGCATGGTATCACAAGGAAGAAAGCTGCTCAACACATTATAACACACACAATACTGTATTGCTAAACACTAAGTTCTAGGGAAAATGGCATATCACAAACAACAGTATATAAACAAGAAAGCAGGTCACTATTCCTCTCTTTCGCAATATCCAGCTAAAGACAAATCACTGCAGTGGGGAATATACCGGATGTGAGCCAACCTTAGTTTGGGAAAGTCATGGATAAAAATGTTCTTTAATGACATAGCTCCAGCGGGGTATCTTTTTAGAAACGAGAGCAGTGCATCTCTGCTTTTAAAAGAAAAGTGGGAAGGAGGCGGCAGCTCTTTTAGAGAAAAGTTGTCACACGTAAGTGGATCTGTGCTGACATGTGGCACCTTCTCACACCCATACCTGGCAGTGCAGCCACTAAGAGGGGGCTGCTGGGCATGCAAGGGCAAGTATAAGTAGGTGCAGTGTACCCAAGTCCAAACAGAAATTATTAATTATTATTATAAACTACTTAATAACTCTTTAAATCCTCAGTAGAGAATGTCCTGAAATATATACCTACCAGTAAAATACTGTGTTTCCTTTTCAAAATACACACCCTAGCCATCATCATCGTTACTACCATCACCACCATCACCACCACCACCATCACCATCACCACCACCACCACCATCACCACCATCACCACCACCACCATCACCACCACTGCCACCATCACCATCACCACCACCACCATCACCACCATCACCACCACTGCCACCATCACCATCACCACCACCACCACCATCATCACCACCACTACCACCAACAGGATCATCACCATCAACACCACCATCATCACTACCACCATCACCACCACCACCATCACCATCATCATTAATTCTATCACTGTTTTGCTGGATTTAGGGGCAGAAAACCAGGAAGAGTTAAAAAGGACATTTAAACTAAGCTACGCCAGAAATGAAGGCAGAAAATGTCTATTAGGAATTTGGACCACATGGGATATCAATGACACAAAGATAAAGAGACAAGCAAGCCACACGCAATGTTCCTCCATGGCCTCTGCTTCAGTTTCTGCCTCTAGGTTCCCATCTTGAGTTCCTGTACCGACTTTCTCAAGAAGGACCACGGCCTGTATGCTGACAAACTCTTTGTTCTGCAAGTCACTTTGGTCACGGTCTTCATCGCAGCAATAGGAAGCAAACTAGTACAGTGCCATGCCTAACAGTCAAGGAGGACGTCAACAGGTCAACAAGGAGAAGGTGGACGGAGGTTGCTGACTACATGGCAGCAAGTGTGTTTGTATTTCAGACGCTTGAACCGAAAATACTTTTAAAGTTGGTTCAATGCAGGGGACAGAGCATTAATGCTGGTGATGAAGTCAGGCTACTTTAGAAGTGATAGCAACCAAACTTTTGAGCGGCAGGTCCTGTTACACAGAACTGATATGGAAATGAGTTCCAGATCAAGCCTCAGTTGCCAATGCCTGCACAGACAACACCTTTCAGTCCAGTGACACAATTTCTGAAGAAATATATATTTGTTTGTTTGTTTTTTCAAGACAGGGCTTCTCTGTAGCTTTGGAGTCTGTCTTGGCACCCGCTCTGCAGACCAGGCTGGCTTCGAACTCACAAAAATCCGCTTGCCTCTGTCTCCCAAGTGCTAGGATTAGAGGCATGCACCACCACTGCCCGGCTCTGAAGAAATATTTTTATGCATTTAGCAAACAAACAAACAACATCATGATCCTTTAAATCTCGTAAACACTTTGCCCTTATTTACCTCTTGGCGTACATGAAGAGACCAAAGCTAACAAGGATCACTATCAAGTATACATTGGTGGCTTCGTTCCACGCTTCATGGACCGTGTAATCAATAGAATCATCACCCATCACGCCATAACTTCCAGCCATGGGATCTGCAAGAGAAAGGAAGGGTGACGAGACATGGCCACCAACTGTTGTTGCACGGCCCAGCTAAGAATGATTTTACACTTGGAAAGAGGTACATGACGTTCATTCTTTGCATTTGTTTTAGGGGTACTGGGGATCAAACCCAGGTCACACATATACTAAACATGCTCTTTACCCTGAACTACCTACCCTGCAGTCCCTAAGTAGGTACATTATGAGCCTAAATGTGCTTCAATTTTCCTCAGTATTTATGAAACCTAAAATATATTTTTAGTTTGGTTCTTATAGGAAAAGGGATATTGAGCCCAGATATTGGTCATAAAGATACAAAACATATTTCCCCATTTTTAATTTTGAAATATTACAACTCTTACATAAATGTTGAAATGTAGGATAAAAATACTGCTAAAAGAATTGAATGTGAAATGGTACTGCAGTTTTCATATTGTAGCTGTCATTCAGATGAAAACACGGAACCCTTAGAAACACAGACCCAGACCACGGGCAGAAGTCTTAGCAGACCTGTCTCTCTATGACAACAAGCCAGAAAATACATGCCGGCACTAACTGCGATTCATGTGCCTCCCAACATGCCTGCACACTTGGAGGTGGGCCAAACTGTGCCCATTTGTCAAACTAGGCTAAAAGAAGCTATGAGATAAAAAGTTACGTTGCTCCTTATTCGTAATCATGCACTCTTTGGACATTCCCACGGAAAGCTGGTTTGATAACCACAAATGTATCAGACAGCAAGTAAAAGAATAAGGGTTTCTTCTTTGTGTGTGAGAACTGAATTTATCCTTAAGGACAGGGTTCTTCCCTTGTGTTGAACAGAAAAGGAGTCTCGGTTAAATGACAGAAAACATGAAAGCAATTCAGAAGTGTTTTAGAGAGTCTACAAAAAGGAGAATGAGCAAATGGCAGGTAACAAGCCTAATGCGGTATCTACCAAGGCATGTTTTAGTCCAAGGAAAGAAATGCCTGAAAGGTCTGAGACATTAGTTACAAAGCTCTTGTGTCTTTTGTTTCTGCTTCAACAATAAAGGTGATGCAGAAGTTCTTCTACAAAAATATCTTGCAGTCTATTCTGTAAGCTAGGCAAATGCCATTAAGGCTGTTTCCCTTGGCAGGTTAATTAGCCTGTATTTTCTTTCTTCCCACTTGTCCATATAAAATACAGGATGAAGTTCCAGGAAAGAGCTGCTCTAAGCTAGGTGGCGTGCACTCAACCTGGAGTTTCTGCCAGATGTATGGAGACCTAGCGCGCTCATCTAGAGTAGAGTGGACAAGACAAATAGACCTCCGGTTTCAACTCCTGACATCGGAGACAACAGGAACTTCATGTATTGGGGTCCGATGGGTACAAACACCCGTCTTGTGAAAATATTTTGGTCAAGGAACAATAAAGAGAACTTCATTATAAAAGACTTAAAACATTAAGATCTAAATAGGAGGGTAGCTCTTACTAAATACTAATGATTAATGCTATGGGCTTTTGGTTGAGTGGAAGAACAGGAGTCAGGTGCTCAACTCTTATTTTTTAAAATTCAACTCCAGGGGGTTCTCTGATTTTTTTTTTTGATTTATAGTAAATAATCAAGTCTGTTTTAGATACAGACACTTCTGGAGGACCAAACACTACAACCTCCCTTAGTATGTGTCATTTTGACCATTGTAAATGCCAAGATGCCGAAAGGGCAATAACCATGATGCCGTCTGGAAGAAAGTAAGTTTTGAGTGTGTGGCTGGAGGTGCCGGAGGGAGCTCAGACAACCATGCAGCAACAGAAGAGCACTCAGAATCGGGAGTGAAGAAATTAGGGAAGAAATGGGATAAGGCGGCAATGGCCACTGGATACGGAGTGAGCGCCATTTATTTATCTGACAAATTAACAAAGTGCTTCCCAATGCCCATTGGATCTGAACCATATTAACTTCTTGCTACAACTTCTGACAGAACGTTGTCCAAGTGCCACTGAGTGAACGACACACTCCTATCCAGAACATGGCTTCTTCCTACTAGGCCACTCTATAATTGTATCTAGAAAAAAGTTTTCTGATGACTGCTGATCCAGAGGGGCAAAGTGGAATCCTGAGATATACAACACTTAGTATAAAACATCAGTACTATGCAATAACACTTCTCCTCCATGGGTCCTGGGAGATGAATGGCCTTAGACCTGCAGCTATGAAAGACTAGCACGGAAGGCAGGCCTCTCCTAGTCCTAACATGATCAAGAGCATGCTCGCTCCGTAGGACAACGGGGAATGGAGAGCTCCGAGTGGCGGGGCAGACATGGTACTTTGACCAGTCCGCCCACACACTAGGTGTAGTCTAACCAAGTGTGCGCAAACGCACCCTTCATCCTCGGTCTCAATAAAATGTTCAGGGGTTCATTTCTATGTACTTAATGGTCCAGTAAGATTTTTGCTAGGGGGTGACAGTCAGAGTTCTTTCGAGAAAACTGAGTCCTTCCCTCGGTTATCCTGGGAAGTAACGCTTGTATTGTCGTTACAGTAGGAAGATGAAGTCGCAAGTCAACATGAACATCCAGAGATATGCAGAAATGCATCCATTAGGATTTAGTTTAAGGCTGACCTACTTCTAGATGAAAAAACTCTTTTCTGGTAATCATGAGACATTATCTTAAGTTCTTAAATTTGTCTCCACCGTTCTAGAAGTGAGCATTACTTGCCACCATGCCTAGAATGTTATTTTGGTCTCTCGTCTGAAACGTTTGCTTTTTTCCCCCATAGAAATGCAGCTTAAACACCAATTCTAACATCAAAATCCAAGCCCTGTGAGAGGAAGACTCTTTCTCCTGGTTCTCTGAGACACTATGGGGTTTGAGGTCCTGAAGCAGAAGGGGGCACGCTCACAGGCCTGAGGAAGGAGGACATCTGAGACTTGAGCACTGGGCAGTTCACAACCGAATGATATTGTATGCAACCAGCCTGCTTGGAGGCACCGCAACTCTGTAACAGGTGACAGCGGTGGTTGTCACCCCAAGGCCACACGGGCTCAGGAAGGAAGGGACAGAGGCGGCACACAGATCCGACGCCCAAACCTGGCCTC